GTTGTATGGGTCTGGGGGGTAGATTCTGGGGGAAGTTGTATGGGTCTGGGGGGTAGATTCTGGGGGAAGTTGTATGGGTCTGGGGGGGTATCTTAGGGGTGCAGTGGGGCTGAGCCCCCAGGATTCCTGGGCACATCATCTGTCTGTCTCCATCCCTCTCCCTAGGTCGGAGTTCTACAAGCATATTGTGCTATCGGGTGGCTCCACCATGTACCCAGGCCTGCCCTCCCGGTTGGAGCGTGAAATCAAACAGCTCTACCTGGAGCGGGTGCTCAAGGGTGATGTGGAGAAGCTGTCGGTGAGTGGGCACTGCATGGGGTGTATGGCCAATGTTTCCCCAGACACTACACACACCTCTCTGGGTGGGATGGGCCAATTCAGCTCCTCAGTGCCACCCACAGTCCATGGCAGCTGACCTGTGTGGGGGGCCAAGGAGGCCCCTGCCATATAAAGGAGATTTGCCCAGGGAGGCAAATGCAGGGGGTCAGAATTACTCTTCTGGCCTGAAAATCCAGGGGTGAAATTCTGACTTCGCTGACCCTGTGACTGATGCCAGTTGAGTTCTTCCCATAGCCTAAGGGGCAGAGCCTCTTCTGGCTGTGGGTTTGAATCCTGGCACCAGCAGGTGAGGCTCCCCCTTGTTGTTAATTGGTCTTCTCTCCCACCTGCAGAAATTCAAGATCCGGATCGAGGACCCACCACGGCGGAAGCACATGGTGTTCCTGGGGGGCGCTGTGTTGGCCGACATCATGAAGGACAAGGAGAACTTCTGGCTGCAGCGAGCCGAGTACCTGGAAAAGGGGACCCGCATCCTGGAGAAGCTGGGGGTCACTGTGCGATAGGGACACCCCCATTTTACCCCCTCCCTGCCACTAGCTCAGCTGCCCCATCTCCTTCATTAACCCTTTCCTCCCTGGCAATATCGCCTTGATTCTGCCTTTCTAGCAGGCCGACCAATCACAGGGCTTCTTTAGGGAACACTTTTTTTCAGGGTGTGGGGGGAAATAATCATGGGGGTTGGGTCCGGGTGGGGTGGGGAGAGGGAGGATATACCTCTCTCTTGGGCCCAAAGCACTCGCTCCCTGGGCTCTGCCTTGGCCACAGGAATGACGTCTCTTCTCCCCTCGGGGGTCACAATGGCCCCTGCAGCAGCCTGCTAGAGATAGGAGAAGGAGGGGTTCGGACAGAACTGTTTTGGGCTGGATTGTAGGGAGATGCCCCTGCTGGGGAAGGATCAATGAGGCCAGGGAGTCCTATACCCCTAAGACTGGCTAACTGGGGAATATGCTGGAGGGACCAAGAGGAGGGTCTAACTGTCCCCCCTCCCCCAATTCTTGTGGGATCAACCCTTGGGAAGCAAATAATATGTTGTGATCTTTAGGGGAAGAATAAAGGGATCAATCACACCCCCACTATCAAACTGTTTTGGGGTGGGACCCTAGCTGGTTCCACCCCTTGCCAAGCACATAGCCCCCTGCTGGCCAAAGGGGGTTATGCACAAACTTTGCAGGAGCCTGAGTGTGTTGGTGGGAGGTTTCTATCCATACCTTCTCTCCTCTGCAATTCTGGGGTGCAGACAGGGGGAGGTGTTTGCTGGGCCTGGGGCAGGATTCCCCTGTGACGCAGTCTCTGTATTGAATGGGGAGGAGGAAAATCACCTCCCCACACAACAACAACCTGAAAATGGGGTTTTTTACCCTGATTTTTAAATTGTTTTTGCTTCTTAGTGTCTTTGACTCCTGTGTCTCTGGGAAACGAGGGGGGAGAAGTGTGGGTCCCAGATCTGTTTCAATTACAGGCTAGCTCAGGGGAGTGGGGTATGGGCCTTTTCCCTTCTAAGCGGCACTGGTGCCCGTTCTGTCACCTGGCAGTAGAGCCGTGCCAATCTGTGGCTATCCACTTCTGTGGATGGGTGTCCACATCCTCAGCTATGGATGCAGATATCTGCAGCTCATTTTTTAGGATACAGATGTGGATGTATCCGTGCCGGGCTCTACCCATCAGCAGATTGACTTCTAGTGGGGCCAAGCAACCATGTTTCTTGAAGGCTGAAGCTGACCTCTCTGGGGGCTCTGCCCCATCTTTAAGGGCAGGCATCAGGCCTTGGAGTGGCTGCCCTGCCCCTTCCATACACCTAAGGGGGAGCTGTGCTGCCATAAGGGCTGCCTAGCTAGGGGACCTTTTTAAGTGCGATTGGGAATGAGGGCTGATTTTTCTGATTACTGCCATCCTCAGCCATTGGGTTGCCATGGCAACAGATCCCAGCTGGGGTAAGATAGGGACTTCAATTCATGTAGGAGTTGCCCAGGCCTAGACCCCTCAGCTCCTTTGCCCTTGCACTAGACACCAGTCCCCTGTGATGAAGGTAGGAATGGCAGATATGTGAATAGACTCCCGGGGTCTACTGCCAGTTCTGGGGGAGGGGTCTAGGAGTTAGAGGTGGGGACCCAGGATTCCAAGGGTATGTCTATTCTGCATTCCTCTTTTGAGAGAGGAATGCAAACGCAGGTGAACAAAACTGAAAAAGCAGGGATTTGAATTTCCCTTGCTTCATTTGCATAATTGCGTCCGGCCGCTTTTTTTGAAATACCTTATTTCGAAAAAAGAAATGCTGGCTAGATGTGGTAACTTTGAAAGAAAACCCTTCTTTTGAAATAACCACGTCTAGACGGAGTTTCTTTTTTCAAAATAGGGTATTTTGTGGAGTTTCTTTTTTCAAAATAGAGTATTTTGAAAAAGCAGCCACATGTGATTATGCAAATGAAGCAAGGGAAATTCAAATCCCTGCTTTTTCAGTTTTGTTCACCTGCGTTTGCATTCCTCTCTCAAAAGAGGAATGCAGTGTCATGATACGCCAAGGGTCTGTCCCCAGCTACGGAAGGGATCCAGGTGGTGCTCACCCAGACCCGATCAACCTTTGTACAAAGAGCCCTTATCAGTATTACCGGTCACAGGGGCTGTGCCTTGGACCTCTGACAGTGGCGTTGGGGTCCTAAGGCAGCAAGGCCAGCAGGACAAATACCAAGACTAAGGGGTGCTCGGTAGGAATTCTGCCTGCCCTTACAGACCATCCCGCCTGGACAGTGTCAGCCCCAGGCCGCCAGGAGGCAGCATAGCCCTTCAAGACGAATTAAATCCGAGCGATTCACACATGCTAGAGCCCCCTGAGCGCCAAGGGTGCCGACATCCCCAGGCTCGAACCAGCAGACCCCCACTCTGGCAGCCCGGGCTCCCAGGTCCAACTCCTTCCATGGCCGCCAGGTGGTGCTCAACCGCCATCCCTGCTCTCGGATCCCTACAGCCCTTCACTGAGGCCCCTTGTCTGGGGAGCTCCTGCCCCCACCGAGAGAGTCCTGGGAGGGCACGGCGGTGGGGGAGGAGCTGGCCCCCTGACTCCTGTCCTATAGGGAGTGGGGCGGGGCCAGGCTGGAGAGACCCGCTGCAGGCCGGGCGGGGGATACGGGGCTGGATATCGGTCCGATGGGGGAGGGGGGGCTGGCGGGGGGGGGGGGTGTCCC